CATTGTATAAACAAGGAATTAATTCCAATGAAACTGTCCAAAATAAAGCATAAATGTGTGGTGATTTACGAACAGGGCACTCTCGACACGGCACGCCAGATTGGCACAATTACACAGAAGACAAACACTTTGAGCCCTGAAGATGATCTCAATAAAGATCGAAACGTTGGCACGATAAAGAAAATGTTTTTCTGAAACCTACATCACACCAGACCACATCTCATGATTTCTAAATAAATAAAGCATAAAGCAAATTAAATTTATTATTTTGTAGTAGTGAGTTGAAAGTTAAATCGGTAGAATATTTAATTTAGAATGTCGCTGGTGTTATACATGGGAACATAGGAATCTTTAAAAACTTTATTAAATAAATATTTGTTTTTTAATTGATAAAGGAGTAAAATAAAAAATGTACATTTCCAGCATGTTTACCTGCAAGGACAATAAACAAAACAACGTTTTACAGTTTAAAAATTAATTTATCCATATTATACTTTCAATTATTAATTACTGTGAGTTACATTTATTATGTTCAGTTTCTACTTCAACACTTAAAAAGAAATTTTTTATAATTTATAGACTTCTTTGTTGTTTGTGAATGTAATTGATTTAATGGGGGGGGGGTTAGAAGTATCAAAATTAACTTATGTTAGCCTTACCTTACAAATGATACAAACTCACATAAAACAGTAATTACCGTTAAGGGACATTAAAGGAAAAGCTACTATTCCGTTGACTGGGATTACTTTTCCTTTCCTGGAGAAAGGTGATCCATCTAATGATGACATCATTTATTCAACCAGTCCCTCTGGAGCACTACGGCCCTTTACGACAGATCCTCCACCTGTTTCTGAAATCTCTAATCTTATTTTACCTAGCTGGGAGATGAACGGTGACTTTTACCATTAGCCGCATGTGTCACCGCGTACAATCACAAAACAAAAACTATATTAAATAACCCAAATTTACTGATATCATTTAAATTATTATAATCGACAAACGATTATACCCGACAATAAATTCCTCCATTCTTCTCCCAGACCATCAGTTTGACTTCCGTCCCCAGCAAGTGTTGCGTTGTGGATCGCATATTCTCCCTTGAGCGCAAGGAATACTGTGTTGGGGACTTTATTGATGTGTCGCAAGCGTTTGACCGCGTGAAGCATGAAGGCCTCCTGAACAAATTAAAGCGCATCCTACCAAATACCCTCTAACTAATTCTTCGTTCCTACCCAACTGAACAATTCTTTAGAATCCGCCAAGGATCAGCCTACTCCGACTATTGTACTCTTGGAGCGGGAGTACCTCAGGGCAGTGTACTTGGAACGATCCTTTACCTCCTATGCACTGCGAATATCCCAAGTTCACCCTCAACCATCTTTGCATTCTTTGCTGACGACATGGCTGTGCTATCCTCTCATCCCGATCCCTCAACTCCTTCGGAGGAGCTCCAAGCACGTCTTAAAAATAGCCAAATGGCGCAAACATTGGAGTATAAGGCCTAATGAGAATAAAAGCATACATAATTCACCCTCCGAAAAAAAAAAACCTCTTAGAATATTCCTCACTAATACTCCCATCCCAAAAACAGACTGGGTCCGCTACCATTCAGACTCAAATCTAACCTAGAATCAACACACACATGACTAAAACGACAGACACTAAACCAACGTTTCGGCTTACTCTTCAAACTACTGTCACTCAAATCTAAAGTTTCAACGAAAAACAAACTAATTCTACAAGACAATACTAAAACTAATGTGGACGTACGGACTAGAATTTTGGGGCATCTCAAAGTCCAATCATAGTCAATGCTCCTTACTCCGTCTCTAACAACACCCTTCACAACGACCTAAAAATCCCTTTCCAAAACATTTTTCCCTTTCCACAATAAACTCTCCTCTCGCCCCAACCGAGCTGCCCAATCCTTATCCACTTCAAGAAACCACTTCTATAATCTCACAGACGAATGAAAAGGAGGTGGCCTCGCGGCCTGCTGAACGAGGTCCTCGCTTATAGCTGGGAGAAGAACAATGGTTGTTAACTCCCCACACGATATATGATCCATGCGAAATGTACATTTAACGAATTAGATCTCGTAAATAATGTTCAGATTGTAATAAATATATTAAATTTTTTAAAAAATTATAAAAGTACTAGTATATAGTACGAAAGTATAGTACTAAAACGCCTTTCCTGGGACGTTGTTATTTATTTATTTGTTTTTGTTTTGAATTACTTAATTTAAGTGCATTATCATTACACTTGCAAATGTATAAATAATTACGAACGGACCTATAGTAAGGTGAATCTCGATTTTTCAAATGCAAAATTCACTTATATTCCAAATTGGTCCAAATGCATGCAAAATCAATATCCAATTTCTTCCTGACTTTTGACATTGAATTCTCCGAAATTATTTTATTTTAAAATATAGGTTATTTTTAAAAAAAGTGAATGTTTCCGCCATTAAACGATATGCAAATTGAAGTCCCAACTTTCCGGTAAAGTAATAAATAATTACCATATCTGTTCCAAAAACGTTTTGCCATATCGATTTCTTTCTTTTAATTCATTAATTCGCCCGTAGAACAGTGTAATGCTGCGTTTTTTCGCCCACGATAATTAGTTTTATGTTTGAGAAATTTAAATTAATGAGGATGTTTTTTCTTTAAAACCTTGAAACCGACAGAAAGTAATAATATTTGAGTAGAAATAATAAACGACTGTTGCACAAGAATGCGCAAAGTTGCATTAGATAAAGTCAGCCACGAAAGTCCGATATATGGGGAAAGAAATTCCATTCCAGCCAACTAGGCCAAACTTATCGAATTCTATCGCTGATGGTATTTCCGAATTAAGCAAGAAGACGCCTATCCGGAACTCAAACCGGTCCAAGATGAAGTGCCACAAGTTAGTGTATTAGGCCCTGTTCTATTCCTTCAGTAGCGATCTACTACCAATTAAACCTTGAATCAATCCGAAAATTGAACAACTAAATTTACCGAATTGATAGATTGACGGAAAACTGGAAATTCATTACGCAGCCGACCTTAACATTTTGAAATCCCATACCCAAGCAAAACATTTGGGCATGACAATGTATGGGCGCTTACGTTAGAAAGTATACGTCAAAAAAGGGTGGTCAAAAATAACTGAAAATCCTACATACATTACTAGAAAATACTGGAGGGGAGAAACTTTCCATTCCTCATTGAAAATAAGCTCTTATTCCCATGTTATATTATCACACAGTCGATAAAGCCTGGTGCATAATAAATTACATTATCCACGGTGACATCGAAATGAAAACAGCAGAGAAAATGATCTATAATGTCGAACTTTGTTTATTGATAGTAAACTTTAAACCCCATATGGCATTATATATAAGTAAATGTATTGTAAATTAAAAATTCATTTGAAACACTACTACCCGTTTTTAAAAGTCTTTATGATTATAATAAAAGAGTTAATAATTAATAATTAAAATTGATAACACTGGGAGATTGGTGGGTGCTGCGTCCAAGAAAGCACTTTGGTTGCTTAAAAATGTAAAATTTTACTACGTTTCGAGCCTCTTTGAGCCTTTTTCATTCTGAAACATTCTGAAAACATTGCCTGAGTAAAACAATCCTGATCACATAAAAAATAAAAAATCATTCACTTGATATGACGATAATGGCAAATAACAAATTGAAATTCTAAAATATTCTGTTGGCCGGATTGTTGACGGATTGCCAGTTGTTTGATCAATCTTGATGGAGGTCCGCTTGTCCTTGTTGCTTGCTTGTTTTCCTACACGTCAACATCAATTGTTGGCCAAGATAAATTAGACGACAACGAACACAGTCTCAACAGTATATTACTTTGAAAACGCTCTTTATTTAACATTAGTGATGTTATTAATCGTTTATCGTTTTATCTAAAAAAAATTGTATCATATTATGTGCAAAATGATTAGACTAATTTTCTAAAAGGACCATTCGTTGGCTTCACGAGGAATATATTTCTTCTATCAGTATTTTTTCTAAAATTGAAAGGGTGGGTCATGTTTGATCTAGTTTACTGTAAATTACTCTCGTAATTGTATTATATTTCAACTCATAGACTTCGTTATTGTAACGATGTTTATATTTTATTTAAACAAGGGGAATATTTTTCTGGAAAGGTCGACGAAGACCCTGAGTGTTTTCTTTCCAATTTGGTTTATCTATGTTTTCTATGTAGTGATTAGTTCAGAGTATCTGTAGTTTTAAAAATTAAAAATCCAGTTTTTACAGCAAATAATAAAACCACCAACATGACAACAATCATAAACAACGTGTTATTATCACAAGTAACATCCATAAAAGAATTCGCCCATTTGCCTAGCCATTATAACCTTGATGGTGCATAATTTTACCGTAGCAGTACTTTAATATGACTCCACTTCAAGCTTTTTTCATGCGCTAACTATGAAATTATTAAAATATAGATCAACGGTAGTGCTAAACTTACACGTATTAAAATAAACTTTTTTACGTTAAATTTTTTTTAACTTTCTAATTTTTAATATTGTAGCCCGAAAATAAATATATTGGAATTTTTTTTTTGGCGAGTCAAATTTTTTGGCAAACATTGCTGCAATTTTATCAAAATTAAAAAAGTTAAGTGTACGAATTTCTTTAGGTTTATGAAGAAAAACCGTCTTCAATTAAATTAAGTTTGAAAAGCGATTATGTAATGCGAATACATATGACTTTTGTTCTAACTTAATCAGTTTAACTGTACACGGCAGCCATTCATAAACCCCTGAGGAGAGTTAGAAAACTAAATTTGTTCCTTTAAATTTATGGCTTAACTGTTGAAAGACACTTAAGCGAAACATGAAGGAAGATTCGGTAAATGCTTCCGCTGGAATGGTCTAACCATAATTACATTTAGTCAAAATGACAGTTCTATAAAATGAATTCAAAATATGATAATTTTCGAATACATTTTGAACTAATGCTCGTGTTTATTTCTATTTCCTTCGAATCATGTTTTCCCCGTGTTATTCTTTTTTTGTTATCCTTCTTGAAGAACCTAATTGTATCGCGATTGGTTCAGTATGAGTAGGCGGCTTTTGTGCATGATTCACCATGTCGTGTGCAGGTAACTCGTGTCTATCAGCTGTCTCGTGTGTGTTTCCGTTCGTAAGCTTTAGTTGTCAGTGTGTGACACAGATCGAGATGATCCAACAGGCACTGTTTGCCACGATTCGGTCGGTCGATTTTTCCATTGTGGTTTTATATATAACAGGCGACTCGGGGGTGATCCGTTGCGGTGAGAATTACCAAAATTGATAGAGCCAAGGGTATAAATGGCCGGAGTTTCGCAAGATAAATTCTCAAACGTTTAACACCACTGTCATTAGCTACGACCACAATTGGCCATCTCTGATTATGCAGATCTCCGTCCCATCCATTAATCATTTAAGTCTTGCTTTAAATCTGAAGAAATACATTTATCTCCCAAGTTTGTACATCTCCTGATAAATAACACCAATCAGTATAAATGCACCTTAAATTCGATTTGCATAAAACCAATACACCAGCATCCTTTAGATTTCAATTTTTTTTCTGAAATCCATTTAAACTACTAGCACAGTATAATGTTTTTGCATAATGTAAGGAATTATATATTTTGTACGAAATAGAAAATAAAACGAGTAGTAGATCAGTAGTACCAATTATTATTGCTTGAGGAAAAACGGAAAGATTTAATTGATTCGGATCTACTTTAAAGATTTTTATCTACCAAACTCATTTAAAAAATTTTAAATGTTTAGTCAACGTGTTTCAAATATGAATAAAAGCAAAAGAATTCGTAAAATTTAACTCACGCGAAAGGCGCGTTCTTTTCTGTACAGCATTTCCTTGACATCCCTCCTAACAATAAAAACCATTCCGTATGATAGAAAAATTGATTATAACAGGAATTTTAGGAATTCATATCACCTGACGAAGAGCCCAAGAATAGCCTCCTTCAAAGAAAGGATAATTATTTGACTTATGATAACACCACGTTATCAGATGAAAACTATGAAAATCAAATCACCTCAGAAGGCTCTGAATTTGTGCCATTCAAAACTTGAAAATTTTCAAACAGACTCGGTCTAAAAGGTTTTTTGTTCAGAGAAAACTGCTGCATCCTTCACATTCTCTAGACAAGTAGCTGATAGATTATTAATTTTTCCAAGTTGTTTACATTTACATGAGGCAGAAAAATTTGGAAATCGACAGTCATGAATGAATATTTTAACTAAATAAAAACATTTGTTTTAATAGCAAAGTTTCTACTTTATTCAATTTTTGGTCATTAAAACCAATGAAATATAGGTAATATTTTTTCTAATTCTCACTTCAAACGCAATTATACAAAAATTAATGTGTTTTTTTTGCGTCACATCAAATACGGTAGTGCATGTTTTCACATAAAAAAAACTTTATAGTTAGAAAAATCTTAACTACCATCCCCAATTTTAGAATTGGGTCAAAAACTAGTCCACGATTGTATTGGCTACGATACATATCCCCTGGTTGGGTTTGTCCAAGGATAACTGAATATTTAACATCTTGCATTGTCCAGTGAGTTCATTGTTCAAGGAGGTAAATCATACACAGGGTCTGCTCCACACGCCTCTCTTCTGTGCCGAGCTTTTGCTCGCGAGGAATTTATCATTGCCCAGAATAAATAAATTAGAAACGAACCGTCTCAAACACCCGGTCACATAATGGTCTTCTTAGCGTAATCAGATGACCCCGAGGAAAATTGCTCTCTTTATACGCGGTTATTGTGTATCTGCCCGCAGTGAAAATGCAAACGCTTTTAATTTCAAAAGAAGGATAAATTTGTTTGGGTTTTTTTTATTTAGACGGTTTATTTTGTAATTGTTTTCCTGCTTTAGATTAATCTAGAAAACTCGTTTGGTAATAAAACCGAGGAAAACAGTTAACTAAAGATAACCATTTAACTGTAATCATCTCATTAAAATAAAGGAACATGAAATGACCATGAACCCGTAGAAAAACTCTATAATGAAAAACAAAATTACAACATGGTTTACATACAGACGTTATCAACCAGGATCATTTCTTTATTTACTTTTCAATTCAATTAAAGTAAAAATAAATTAAGATCATAAAACCAATCATATTTTCAAAAAAGCAATGATAAATAAATATGAGTCACAATAATAAACTTTTGACAAATAAAAATTCATGTAAAATAACTTGGAGAAGATTAGTTTTTGTTCAAATTCACCTCTTCAATATGCAAAATAAGTACTCAACGGTATTTTCGGCAAATTGATGAACCGTTGCCGGTATTAAATTTAGACCGTAACATTTAGCCAAACCTAAACGGGTGAGATCAGAGATCAAATTTGCTTAAACAACTAGTTCGAAGAGATCGATTCGGTTATAAATAAATATTCAAATTCAATGTAAAATTTAAAACCTAACGATCTCTGAATAATTAATGACTTGGTGACTTACATATATTTAAGTTTTTAGTTGAGACGATAGCTCAAGTGGTAGAGCAGCGGCGTATCAAGCCTAAGATCGTGGGCTCGAATCCCGCTCGTGCCATTGACTTTTTTATCTCAACTAAAAACCTTAATTAATTGTATAATAATAATCTTTATTTAGTGACAAAAAAAGTTGGACAAAGTAAAATGACATAAAAATTAGCAGGGTAGAAACCGTTTGCCAGTAAAAAAAACAATCTAGAAATATAAAAAAGTAAAAATTGAACGTTGACTTTTTTATCTCAACTAAAAACCTTAATTAATTGTAGGATATTAATTGGTCAAGCGGACCACGGAACTAGTGAAATTATTATTATATTTCACGATTACATTTTGTCAAGCTAATCTAAAGTAATAAATCTAATCTGTATTGCCCAGTAGATAACCTGTATTTAATGCACAGGAATTTCGTTTTATATGAAAAATTTTAGTGTCTAAAAATTATATGTTTTAATTTTTTTAACGGGGTTTGCAAATAGCAACTGTCATATAAATCTCACGGTTTCAGTTTGCAGTTGAGATTTGAACCCGACACCCCTACAGAGATTAGTCGCCGGAACGTGCAAACGGTCTATCCCCTGGGGCCACCGATTTTATTTAGACTTTTGGGAAATAAAAATTGAACGCATACTCTTTCTAGATATGTAGGTGACCCGTTATCAATACGCTTCTCAGGCTGTTATGAAATGAAGGTCCAATCTTTATCAACTTCTGTAATCAAACTTACGTTCATTGTCTCGAACATCAAAAGAAATAATATGTCAAGAATTCGAGAGGATTCGATTCTCAGGCCAGGGAGGAAATCAATGTTCATTATCGAAATTTTGACCTGTATTCACAACTTTCTTGGCCCAACGTCACATGATAAAGGCCATTCAAGTACAAGTCACACGCTGGTGTGTAAACGGTTGTGGATGCCGCCTAAACTGGATTCAAAGCACGTTCCCAAGACAGAGCCGCACCTGAAATTTCCAGTTCCGCCATTGGTGGCCCTAGGCCCGTCATAACGGGACCTCCGATTTATAGGTTTAATCAAGATAAGTGTTCCTCTCCAGGGGAATCAATGGATCAAAGGCGTTTATTATAATAAAACTCTGTTTTCTCTCCTGTTTTCCTTTTTATTAATGTCCATATTTTTTCTGGAAACTTGCTACTTCCAACAATTTATTATGTTATTCTTGATTGAGATTTCGCACTACATTTCACAATGCCTAGAAACAGAAAACAAAAAATTATGATAGAAAATACACTCTGGACTGTCAGTACATTAATACAATCTTTCTGGGAAATATTTCATTAAAATTAAGTAGTCTTCGAGAATATGTTTTTTCTAAATTACATTCTTGATTTATAACTATCAATTGAACATATTGAAAATTCCAACTAATAAATTTCATACCAAACAATTTAACACATAATACGCAATTATATATATTAATTTTTGTAAAAAAAACAAATGAAGAAAACCTAAAACATAAATTTTACAAATTATAAATTGAAACAAAATTACAGTTTGTTCAACATTAAAATATATAAAAATTATAAAAATATAAAAAATTATAAAAATTAAAAATATAGAACCATTACTAAGTGTGTAAAAGAATGAGTGAGTGGAGTAAGTGAGAGAAGAGAGAGAAATGCTATCATGGGTTTATTTAGAAATAATCGTCACATTTTAAGCTGATCAAAAATTTCAAACAACAAAACTACTTCTTTTAATGAAAATAAACTTCTGGCAGATTATTTCCTGGTAATGTTTCTGCTAGGGGAGTTTATAAGTTTTTTGCCATTATTCATCAAGAGGGAACAAGATGTTTTAATTAAATTTGACGATGTTCTCTACATTATACTCTTCGTTATTTTTTCTACGACAGACAGGAAAATTTCCCAACAAATATTAATTGTTGCGTTTTCTTGACGTTTTAGTTTATTTTTAATTGTATATGTAGGAACAGTAGGAAATACCAGACTTGTCTGAGGTTAGTTCATGCTTAGTTCATTAAGTGTTGATTGTATATTAAATTGCCGAAAAATTCAATTGAACTCAATCACTACTTATTAACTAAAAAAATAAACAACCTCTACTAAGAAAAATTTGAGTTGGTATTTTTTTCTATTTGTTAAATTTCACTTTTTCGTTAGATTTCTTAAATTTTTATTTTCGTTATTTAAGGGGAGTAATCCACTTGTCAAGATAAAAGAATCGATTTCTTTTAGGAAAAAAATACTAAAAGCCTATACGCACATTTTGGAATATTTTTAGTAGCTAATTTTATACCCCTCCGACTGGTTGCGCGGATAGAGATAACATAATTTCCCAGCAGAAAAAGTAAAAACAAATACCTTTATTTACTGAAAATTTAAAAAAAACTTTTGCTAAAATGTTCAGGATTATTTATATATCAATAACTTATATGCTTATGTTCGTGACTGAACAAAACATTTTCCCGGTCATAGATGTTGAGCATAGGGCAAAGTCAAATCTTAAGTTTATGTCATAAATTTCTTTGGATTCAACATCGTCAAAAAGTTGCTTTAGGACTTCTGTGAATTTATATTGCTCTTTTCCGACTTTTCCACCTCCAATAAATAATTCTCGCACTTGCATGTTGCACATCTAGCCTTTCATGAGAGTCTCTTATCGAAGAACAATTCCAAATCCTCTATACTGTAAATTCGTAACCCGACGTAAAAAATTTCATACCGCCAAAGTATTAAGTATTGTACAACATGAAGTACAGCAAGATAAACTTCTAGAAGGAGACGGATAAACAAAATGTTCTATGCTCAGTCGAGTATTTGTTGAAGTGGACATATCCGGGTATATATTTTATGTCAAATCCGACAATGTTTTCCCTACATTCTTACGCATTTGAAAAAGTTTTTTCTCTTGAGCACTATTAAAAAAAACTATAAGAAGAATATCCTACGACATAGAAAGAGTAGAGCACGAACTAAAGGCACCAACAATAAAATAATTTAAACAAAATTATAAAAGCAAATAACTTTTTTAATATTAAATAAACACTTCTATTTTCAAAATATTAACATCGACAATATAATTTTTCGTAAATTTCATTCAAAACAATGGCGTTTTCGCGAAAGTTTTTTTTAATATTTTGATGTTTTCTCTGAAACTAGTTGACTTTTTTTTAAATCCTTGTAACTATATAATACTTACGACTATTTTTTTTTAAATAAATGGAGCTGAGTAAAAATAGAAAATATACAAAAACGCTTTTATATAAACACTTAATTTTTTCGTTTTAGAAACTGAACTTTCTCCCGTCTAATAGTGTAATAAAAAAGTATCACAAAAAAATTCATTTTGCTAGCTTTTACCGTTTCTAAGAAAAATGGGCAGTGAACAAACGATATTATCATGGAATTAGAGAACGAAAAACTCAGACTTACAAGAAAACCTTAAAACACGATTTCAACATTACCAACCCGTTAAAAATTTATGTTTTAATAATATATTAACTTTCAAGGATTTTGAACCAACGTTGGGTCAATAACCAAATTAAATAAAACCGAGGTACCATTTCAAAGTGGGTCATTCCCCTTTGTGTTGAGAAACAGAAAAGTTTGCAAAAACATATTAAATAATCCTGAAGCTTGTTTATTTAAGAATGTTTAATTTTAGGTTGACCGTTTTTGTACTGAATTGAATTTAACTCAAGACAAAACGTATAACATACATAAGAAAATTTGCTTTTTTATTAATGTAATATATAGATATTTTATTATTTAGAACTTTTTAATACTTTTTAATTAGTTACCTTATGAAAATATAAAAAACCTGGTTTAAACATGGTTTCTCATTGTTAAAGGAAAACTCATAAAAAATAACTGGTTCTACTTCTAGATTTTCTTTTAGTCTTACTTTTTCTTTTAACTTTTTCTATTGGAAGTAAGAATGTTTTTCCTACATCTCTTCGTATTTGAGCTAATACATTTTATTGGTTTTCTGAAGATAATTTTTTGTAAAACAAGGTTTAATTTTCAAATATAAACATACAATTTTCTTACATAATTGACATTCTACTTCTAATGATGGTTTAATGTTGAACAAAATCTAATTTTGAGTTTATCGGTATTTTCTAATCACTTCAATGCATTACATTTAATAGATAAACTGAATAAAGTTATAAATGGAGTTTAGCTTAGAATCATCCTGTTTTCTAAAAGCAGTCAGAACAAGAAGGATATATAAATTAATAAAGCCTCGTTTTAAGGTTAAACCTATTAACCTACAACTGCAAACCCCAGCGACCAATTTCCACCGTAGGCCTTAAGATTCGGCTTCACAGAACTACTGAAACAAAGACGTGGATTTACTGTGAGATTGGTTTATTAGTAATTCCGTTGGGTGAGGGAAATTCCGAACTAATCGAGAACAGCGTGACCGCATTTCAATTTATTTACATCACCATTACGCAATGGAAATTTATGCTCTACTAATAGAAGGCATCTGTTTAAAAATATATTTCAGACAAGATTAATTGAAAAATTAAAAATTCTAATAGTTAATTTTTTCCATTAGTTTTGTGTGTTATCAGATCAATGTGATCAATTAATTTTTATGTGTTCGGTTTCAGTGTCCTTCAGCCATGGGCTTAAATGTTACCAGTGTGGCCAATACACAGACGGCGTCGGCTCTATCACACCTTGTCTCAACTTCACAGAAGACAATCTGAAAGAGTGCCCGAGCAATAAAAACCAAAATTGCATAGTAAGTCAAACCGTAAACAAGTATTTTTGAATTTTTCCTAGTTGATCATTTTAATTAAGAACGCCTGTTTCCCATGCCAGAATGAAAAAAGAATAAAAAGTCATAAAAAGCCACAATGCAAGTTGAATTTGCAAAAGCAAAGGGCACCCCTCGCTATAAAAGACGAGCCTTTGTACTAAATAACTTTTATTGGAATCCTTCAGCTTTCTTTAAGTTGGGTTCTTATCTGCTCATTTAGAATCCACTTTACTTCCTTTAGCTCAGAACCAAAGAAATCTCATTTCCTCCTGGCGAGGACAGTACCTCATAGAACCTGTAATCATTATATTTTCCTCATATCTATTTACCGAATTATTTTTTTATGTGTAAGGAAAGATTATCCAAAGATTCACAAATCAGAATAAAATAGTTTTTCCAAATAAACTAAACTTTTCAATTCTTTTGTAGGTTTGCTTTCATCTTGGCCGACGTACTATTCGAAACTCTTTTATGTTCCCAGTATAGAAAGTTTACCCTTTTAGCCCTTTGACCTTCTTTAAACCCTGCACCTGAAGAGAAAAGAGATTTTTCCGCCCGACCCCTATTTTATGTATGAGCATCACCACCAATTTCACATACTTTTATTTATTTATTTTAGACGGAAAAACAAAGCGATCCGGCAAAGTTTCTTTCCAGTTCCCACACAGTCACTGTCGCCCTCAGCAAAACGTGATCACACAAAATTAAAAGTTTTATGGTTTTCAAAACAATATTATAATAATATAACTTGAGTTACTTTTAAAATAGTTTAAACACAAAATATCAAATAACCAAATAGTTGTGAAGAAATAAAATCGACAACAAACGGAAAAAAGAAAAAATGATTTGTCAGAAAATTTACAAGATTTTAAAAATCACTCATTTACGATTTTAATTAAAATTATGGAACATGTTATAAGCTTTTATTTAACAAGCTAAGATCATTTCAAAGACTAGGTTGCATGATGATGACGGGAGCATTTCCCACTACACCCACCCTAGCACTTGAAATTATAACCAATACTACACTTCTACACATAGAGGTTAAGGCAAGAGCACTAACCAGCTGCTATAGATTAATTAGTGAAGGCAGCTGGAACCATAAAGGAAATATAGGTCACTCGAAAATTCTACATTTATTGAGTAAGGTCAATAACCAACTACTAAGCGTTAGCGATAAAAAGGTAAAAACACCTTTGGGGAAAATACACTTTCAGGTCGTTACTCCTTGTGATTACAACTATAGTGCGGATGATGACCATCGTAGCCTAGACTGCTTCACCGATGGCTCACTCATTAAGGACAAGGGAAGCGGTGCTGGAATATATATACCTAAATTAGGGATCAGCATCTCCTCCCCTCTTGGTAATAACACCTCAGTCTTTCAGGCGGAGGTCTGGGCCATCACTGTTTCCTGCTCAACACTCATGGAGAACAAGATTAAGGGAAAAGATATTAGAATTTTTTCCGACAGTCAGGCCAGTCTTAAGTCACTAAAAAAAGAGTTATCAACATCTAGGCTGGTAGAGGAAACCGTTGAACTTATTAATAGGATTACTACCAGGTACGAGAATAGGGTAACCTCATATGGATACCAGCTCATAAGGGGCACTATGGCAATGAAGAGGCGGACAGCCTGGCCAAAGAAGGCTCAAATACCGCGTTTGTCGGGCCACAACCGGTATTATCCCACTCTATAAGCACAGCGAAAGCGATTGTTAATTGCTGGGGCATGAAACAATTCCTGAAAGAATGGAATCAGTCCACCGGACATAGGCAATCGAAGGAGTTTCTGAAGGAAATCAAACCAAAAGAAGCGAAATGGCTATTCTCTAACTCAAGGAGGGGAATTAGGAGGCTGATAGGTATCCTAACGGGCCATTGCCCCTTGAGAAGACACCTCTTCATAATGGGTATCCTACCAGACCCCTTTTGCCGCTTCTGTGAAATAAAAGAAGAAACGGCTCGACACTACCTCGCAGAATGTGATAGGTTTTGAAACTTTTGAAGGAGAGGACATTGACAAATCACTCCCCATGATAAAATGGTCCAAAATCTTGGGGTTTGTAAACAGGTCCAAGAGGTTTATGCAGGACTCGTGAGCTGACCAAGTCCCGGACATTTTAGGGATGGGGTACGGGCCTACCTAGGCTTTTAATCCCTCGGGTTTCGGTCGCCCACCCTGCATAATATATATATATATAAGCTTTTATTTACATATTTACTGATTGCATTAAGTAAATCCGACATAAAGGCATCCGACAACTTGGTCAATTCAACACCGAGCGCATACGAAATACACGGACAGACAAAAAATTCCACCCAACTGATTTTTTTCCATCCATTTCCATAAAAGAAAATTCTATCCTTAATTTTTCTTATTTAAATTTACTTTTTTTTTACTTTTTTATGCAAAGACTCAATTATAAAGCCTAGTACGCACTGAGATTCTTTGAATCGATTCATGTTGCGGAGCAGAGTCGGGGCTGCGTAGTTTCATTGTTGGGATACAGCCCCGACTATGCTCCGCGACAAAGAACCGTGTCCAGACCAAGATTCAGTTCACATTCATCAGTGACTGCGAAAATGACGGGGGAACTAGCTCTCAGTAATTTCCCTTGCTCTTTTTTGCATTGCACGTAGTGTATCCAGTCATAAGTGCATTAAAAAATGTCATTTTTAAAGTGTTAAACACTGAATTTTTGGTTAAACCGTTCAATTTTTGGCTTTTCAATTCCCGATTTCTGTATTCCGTGAATGATACACCCCACAAACACCGATGGGAATGCAAGTCTTCAATAAACTGTAAAGTCAACTCGGTACTCCACAACATACCTTTAATACAAGACAGTATCAAAATCTTCAAGAAAACACTCACTAGAACATCAACTAAACAAATGAAGCAAGAGCGCTTGTTCCGATTCACGTCCGGCAAATGTTGCGCAGCATTGAGTCAAAGAATCCCACATCAGATGGGATTCAAAATAGTCCGAAAATGCTAGCCCGCAACACACCAGATTCATCGCAACAATGAGTCGGGGCAGCACGGACACAGGCTAGACGCAGCCGAGACTCTCCGGAGATTCAAAGAGTCCCAGTGCGTACTAGGCCTTGTACGTTAAAAACGTGAAACTTTGATTAATATATAAACATATATACAAATCAAGTTATATTACAAGTGGGCGGAATTTTTCGCCTGTCAGTGTAAAACAACACACATTCAACACGCATTCTCACGAATAAATACATTCACACCTATACACATTGCATTCATTCTTTTCAGTAGATGGAGTACTCAATATTCCTCCGTCGACCTGCATACAATAACATATTAATTGGGGTCGCATAATTTACTAGGGTTCGCAAAAGTAGAGGTCGTATTAACCCTCAGGGTACCAGTAAAAGCCCATTTGTACGTATGTCGGGTTCGAATGCGGGGCCGCTGGATTCGAACCCGGGACCTTTACCTTACAGTGATGAGCGTTTCGGCCACCGATGCCCCCATAATCGGTTATTGAGTCATTTAAAGGCGGAGTTGCTTAGTGACAACACTCCTTCACATTCTCAACGTCTCTACTATATTGATTAATTATGTTTCATTCTGTTTGTCTTATTAAAATTTATATTTATAAAATCTATACATACATACCTTTTGTCAAATTTCCATTTCAAATTTATCTTATTTCAGCAAATTTAATGGGATTCCAGAGCAACAAAATAAATCCTATCAAGTGGCGATAAATTACAAAAGATAATTTGAAGGAGTTATAGGAAATAGCGAAAGACGGAAACTCAATGGAATCCAATTAAGAAACGTGTCGAAACTGGTGGAGCTTATAACGCCAGCGCTCACAGCAAATTACGACCAACAATTTTTAGAGTAACCAACAGAGAAAAGATTCCAATCTTCCAATACCTGTGCCAATTACAGTTTTATTGTAACTGTGTTATAATACGTATCAGTATCTATAATAAAGTGCTACAAACGGTTCATGGTGATCTAGTTCGCATATGGTTATGAATATTTAATAAAGACTACCCGTCTTTTAATGTATCAGAAATAAATGTTTTTATTATCATAATAATGCAACAAATCTTGTTAATATATTTACTTATGTATGTATCAAGCACTTTATATTTTACCATACTTTATACTTACTACCCTAACAGTGTTTACAAAAGGTGACAACACCAAACTCAATTGGTGGTTCTCAAAATGTAAAAAACTTGTTTGCTTTATGCAAATAGTTCTTTCACTAACTCTGAAGGTCTCAAGTATTGTTTATTGTCTGCATTGTTTCTGCAAGCCACCGCGTTTTTAGTCTTCTGCCAAAGTTAGAGAGAATATGTACGGATAAGCGTTTTTCGATTTGTAGTAAAACTTTGGATGGGATAATAATAAATAACAATATCATAGTATTTCACAGATGAACATCACAGTTAGGGCTTTGTGAGTTGTATTTATTCGATACTCAGAATGCATCGTCGAGAAATCTTGTAAATCTGAGGTTGAGCAGTTTAGACCCAAAGAATTTTTGAGGGTTGGAGCTTTCAAGGATGTTGCAGCTTAACCCGAAAACATTATTCCATAATGATGAATTTTATTTTACGTAGACATGAGAATATTTTGAACCCTGTCATTACTTCTTTGTTGTTTAATTCGTATATGTTGGTTTATAAACTTCACACGGTCTCCCACCATGTCTACAGTTGGACGAGTAATATTTCGTTGTTGAACACCGAGTAGAACATTTGAACATATGTGTGATGTTAATTGACCGTTAATTAATGATTGTTTGGAGACCGTGAGATGCGGTCTGGTGTGTCGTACGTTTAGAAAAACATTTTCTTTATCGTACCAATGTTTCCATCTTTACAATTAATTAAGGTTTTTAGTTGAGATAAAAAAGTCAATGGCACGAGCGAACCCACGAACTTTGGCTTGATACGCTGCTGCTCTACCACTTGAGCTATCGTGACCT